CACAGGTAACCAGCAGGCGACTCCCTGCATGTCGGCAGGTCTGGTCCAAGGTGGAGCACCTCGGTACCGAGCAGTTATGGCCCTGTGAATGGAAGAAATCCCAGTGTGGCTTTACCATTTTCAGTCCCAGCTTTCTATGCTGAGGACACTGTAAGACCTCACAGCCTCCAGGAGAGTGAGCTGGTGGGGTCCCTGGTGCCACAGTGGTCCCTCTCAGCTTCATTCTGATATTAACCTGCCCTGTTGAGCTTGTATCCCTGCTTCTTTCCCTCTTTTTCCTCTCTAAACTGGCTTGTAGGAGGAGTTTCTAAATGTTTGAAGATGCTGGCTAGAGCAGGGCTACAGCGCTGGAGGGAAGCTCGCGGGGAAATCGTGCTCCGCCCTCAGACCCGAGAGCTCACCGAAAGGCAGCCGTGAGCAGGGCTCAGGAGGTTTCAGGAGGACACACGGAAACCACTTACAGGTGCACTCAAATCCATACCTATAAGCTGTCACAGAAAACGTGTCTATTTTGCCCATGTCCCGACAGTGCAGGAAACCACGCTGAATGGCTTCTGACTAATTACCCTGGAGGAGGAAAGTTCAAAACATCCCAAAATTCAAGCTGTGGCACTGGTAGTGCGGCTGGTGGTCAGCCGTCATCTCCCTGAGAATCAGGACCAGAAAGCAGATCTGAGTATTTAAAATTCTTTCCCAGTGGCCTGAAGGCAAGCTTCTGTAAAGTTAGGGCCTGAAAAACTGGGGTAAAGGAAAGGAAGCTTGCCAGAAAAATCAATATTAGTGAAAGCTGAGTAGTTTGTATCAAGACAATAGGTGGGACGCCTGGAGGGCAAGTCACGAGTCAGCTAAATACCGCTCTTTACATGCTGATTGGTATAAAAGTGAGTTTGGTAGCCTTCAGGGTTCTGGAACCGGAGCCCTGCAGATTCCAGAAGGTAAGGTACAGATGTGCAGCAGAGGCTGGCCATAGTTCCTGAGGGAACAGGCAGCAGAGCTGAGCTGCGGCGAGCATGTGATGCAGGCAGAGAGCCCTTCTCTGCCGTGTTCCAGGTTCAGGGTTGAAGTCACAGCACGGAAAAGAATTCAGTGTTATGAGACAAGAGAATGAAGGGACATTATAGTGACAGACTAAGGCAGTAGCCATTGTTCCCTGCCTCCTGGCATTTGTGCCATGTTTTGGGGGGGTTTTGGGGGGGGCAGCTCAGCCCACTCTGGAGGCGGGGCTAGTGTGGTATGTGGTGCTGAGGACCAAAACATGGTCCCTGAGCTTTTGCCAAAGCTTGCTTAAGCAGGTGCTTTATACCACTGAGCTATCTTGTCGGCCCTGTACCATGTTTAAACTCCTAGCTTTGAGAGAGCACAGGAGCTGTGGTTTGATTTTTTTTTTCTTTTCTTTTTTTTAGGAAAGTGTCTGCAGGGTATTCAGGGACTCATAGTGATCCGCCTGTTTACAGCCTCCAAAAACTTGGGTTACAGGTGTGCCACCATGCCCAGTCTCAGTTGCTTTCTCAGAGCACCCCGGAGGCATGGCTGGCACAGCAGGCCTGTGTATTGAACCCCAGACCCCTGCGCCTGCTTGCAGGTGCTTTAATCCAGTGGGCTATATGGCCGGCCCTTGTGGTTTGATTTTTTTTTTTTTTTCCACCAGGGATCAAACTCAGGACCTTGTGCTTGTCAGACAGGCGCTTATGCCTATGAGCTATCTTCCCCTACCCTGTGATTTGATTTTAACACATAGAACATAGTAAATATGGAAGAGATGCCAGTTCCAGGATGAAATTACGTAAGATCCTGACTCTGTCTTGATGGCAGGGTTTCTTCCTCGCTGGAGTGTATAAAGCAAGTGGCCCTGTTGTAGTTGCCAGGGAGAGGTGCATGTGACTCAGACTGAGAGTGGCTTCCAGCCAAGAGCTAGAAGGGAAGGGAGACCCATTCTCAGGAAGGAATCACTTCCACAACCACAGGAGGTCCAAGATGGATTCCTCCCCCGTTGGGCCTCAGGGAGAGGAGCCAGGCACGGCTCTTCCCACAGCCTTGTGAACCATGCAGTGAAGCAGAGGATGAGAGAGATCCTACCTGGATTCCGGATCCACAGAAATCCCGTGGTAATCTTGTGTCTGGCTCTAGGTTACAAAGTGCGCTTGAATGTTATGCAATGATTGATAACTCATAGGATGAGCTGGCTTTTTTTAAAAAAATAGTTTCACTGAGAAACAAATAGCATTGAGATAGTTTCAAAACTGATTAATAGGAGAGTTTCAATAATTAATATATTGCATGTTGTTGTCTTTTTAGCGGTTATTCACAGTACAAGATGCAGACATAAACTGGCTGTTTTATAGCATTGGGCAGGAAATATCCCACTAAAAAGGGCAAAATGTTGCAAAAAGGAGAATAAGCGGCAGAGTGAAGAGAAAGGGCAGGAACTGGAGCAGGAGCGTGCTCACTCAGCTGGGCGCACAGCAAGAGCGAAGGTGGGCTTTGCAAGTGTCCTCAACTAAGGATATATGAGGAGTGGGATTGAGGAGTGGAGGAGAGAGGGAGACAAAGCAGAGGAAAAGAGACCGAGAAAATAACAAATGTGTCGAGGTGGAGGAGGTTTTGGATCCTATAAATTCCTGATGGTTGTAGGAATAGTACAGCTCCTCTGTGGGAAACACTTCCGCAGCTCCTCCCAGCTTTGGGAGAAAACGTTGAACCTCACGCATGCTAGGAAACTGTTTTACCTTTGAGACATAACTGGTTCACCCATTCAGTCATCTTTTTCTGATGCTGGGTGTGGCACACAGGGCCACCTGCATACTAAGCAAAAGCTCTACCCCTCCTGGTTGGTCACAGTGCACCACACACATTTTATTTGCACAAGTTAATCGGCTTCACGCAGACCCTTCCAATCCACACAGATACTCACAGATCACGGCCCCTGCCTTCCGCGCTCTCTTAGCCTCCCATTTGCCTCGGCCTCTCCAGTACTTCGGCGCTGCCACTAACCTTTCTTGTATGTTAGAACATCTTTTTTATTTCCTCCACACACGAAAGAATGATCAATACTCGTCTTTCTGTCTGGCTTAGTTGGCCGCACATGGTGCCTTCCACTCCCATTCTGTTTCCTGCAGATGGCAGGCTTCCCTTCTTCTTTCTGGGGAGCAAGGCCATTCTCAACTGTGTGTATATACCGTATATTTGATGACCGTCTATTTGTAGATGGATGGCTTGGCAGGTTCTATATCTTTCCCACTGTGAATGACGCCACAATATAAATGGGAACATGCATGTGTCTTCTGTGTGCTGACTTCATTCGAATTGGATATATAGCCAGGAGCAGG